GATGCTCGTGCTTGCACACGTGTGCTTGTGCCTGCACACATGTGTGCACTGATGCCTGTGCTTGCACAGATGCTTGTGCTTGCACACGTGTGTTTGTGCCTGCACACGCGTGTGCACCGATGCTTGTGCTTGCACACGTGTGTTTGTGCTTGCACACACATGCTTGTGCCTGCACACACGTGTGCACAGATGCTCCTGCTTGCACACGTGTGTTTGTGTTTGCACACGCGTGTTTGTGCTTGCACACGTGTTTTTGTGCCTGCACATGCGCGTGCACCGATGCTTGTGCTTGCACACGTGTGTTTGTGCTTGCACATGCATGCTTGTGCCTGCACACGCGTGTGCACAGATGCTCCTGCTTGCACACGTGTGTTTGTGCTTGCACATGCATGCTTGTGCCTACACACGCGTGTTCACCAATGCTTGTGCTTGCACACGCGTGTTTGTGCTTGCACACTCGTGCTTGTGCCTGCACATGCGCGTGCACCGATGCTTGTGCTTGCACACGTGTGTTTGTGCTTGCACACGCGTGTTTGTGCCTGCACACGCGTGTTTGTGCCTGCACACGCGTGTGCATAGATGCTCCTGTTTGCACACACGTGTGCCCCTGCACACATGCGCACGCGCGTGTCCCCGCGTGTCCCCGCGTCCTGTCCTCGTCCCCGCGTGTCCCCGCGTGTCCCCAGGGCCCCACGTGGGGCCCCGCCCCGCGCGCCCACGTGACTCCCTCCTCTCCCCGGGCACTCAGGGGTTAACCCGCCCCCGGGGTGGCTCCGATTGGCTCCCGCGTCAGCCAATGGCTGCGGCGTCCTGGGCGGGACCACGCCCCCTCATGGGCGGGATCGCCCGGACCTTGTCTCCATGCGCCGCCGCAGCCAATGGAAAGGGGCCTCGGCCGCGCCCGGCCGCCGCAGGAGGGCGCTGATTGGCTGCCGTGCCGCTGAGGGGGCGGGACTAGCCCCGCCCCTGACGCGGGCTTAAAGGGCAAGGGGGGCGCCCCCCAGTGTCCCCAGTACCCCCCAGTGTCCCCATTTTCCCCAGTGCCCCCAGTGCTCCCAGCGCCCTCCAGCGTCCCCCAGTGCCCCCCAGTGTTGCCAGTGTCCGTAGGACTCCCAGTGTCCCCAGTTTCCCCGTGTCCCCAGTGCCCCCAATACCCGCCCAGTACTCCCCAGCACGTCCCAGTAACCCCAGCGCTCCCAGTATCCCCTTGCG